ATGTGGCGACATTAAGGCGTAAATATATACGAGTAGCCAGAGTTAGTTAAGTGTAAAATAATGTCAAAAATAAAACGGGCGAATAATAAATATGTTTCAAGAGCGAAAAAAATATAAAAAAAGGGAAAATATGTATTTGAATTTATATCAAAGTTAAAAACGCGGTACTATAAATTAGGTAAAGAATAAACAACGGCATAATAAACCTACTGAATGCTGAGTCCTATGCATAGCAAAGTAAAACTCATCCTCGTTTTTCTCCAAAGCCCTGCGTCTCAGGTGCTTGGCTTTTTTATCTTTGGCTTCTTTGTCTCTAAAACAATTTAATATTTAAACATCAAGAAAATATATGGATATTAATATCAAAGGTGATGATTATTAAATTATAATGCATGTATTTAGCAGCAACGACGTTAAATGAGCAAGAGGGTGAACAAGGGGAAGTAACGCTGTTCAGAAGCTAAGCAGTATCTATAAATTTGCGAGCAACGGGAACTATAATATAAAAACAAGCGAATTTTATAAACGACAATTTGACAATGAAGCAGCCATAAATACACGATAGGAATAAACAAAAGTAATCAAGAATACCTTACAAATGTTGAAAAGACTATTTCAAGCTACACAATTGCAATAATTGTTTGGCTACCTAAGCCGGTGATAATGAGAACTTAAATAAAAATCTTAAAATTTAGAGTTGTGCTAGTCGGACGAGACATAGACCAATTCACCTAGCTCGCTTTACAAAGTCCCGCTTCTTAGGTAAAATCCCAAGTTTGCGTCGATGTGCTGGCTGACATCTCTCTCTATGCAATCTAGCGTTGCGCTTTTGAAGATTCTTGAATGAAGCAAACGGCATGGTGCAAGCCCAGATCGCGCGCACCGCCAAAAACAAGTAAAAATAAAATGTAATCAAGCATTTTATTTTATAAAAATTTAACAAACAATATAAGATTTATAATACATAAAAAATATTTAATTGAACATTTGTTTTTGGGCGGGCACTTTGAGGCGTGCTTGGCCCAGCTCCTGGTTTGTGATATATGGGTATATTTTTTAGCAAGCGTTCACGCATCACTCAACAGGACAAGGCTATTCTACAATTAAAGCAACAACGCGATAAGCTTAAGCAGTACAAAAGAAGAGTAGAAGTTCAAATAGAGCGAGATCGTTCATCTGCCAAACAACTTTTGAGCGATGGAAAAAAAGAGTAAGTTTCCTCCCCTTTATGCATACATATCACCTGTGATGCTATGGAACAGTTATCATAGGCAGGTCAACGCAACTCCAATGCTTGACTTTGCGTTCATGCAAGATAATCTGTGTCTGAGGTGATATGTAGATCTCGTAGTCATTCTAATGCCTCGTTTTAATACAACACACTTTTTTCAGTAAGGCCTTATTACTCCTTAAAAAGAAAATATATCAAGAGAGTTTGATTGAAAAGTCAGAAGGCTATTTGCGAAACATAGAGCGATTGACAGAAGATTTAGAGTTCGCCCAAGTTGAAATTCAAGTATTCGATGGATTAAAAGCTGGAAATGCCGCCCTTAAAAGCCTCCATGAGGCGCTTTCTTTGGATGATGTTGAAAAACTCATGTCTGATACCCAAGATGCCATTGACTATCAAAGGGTAAGTTCTTACCATGGCTTACATTATATCCCACCTACCTTCTATTCACATCCAAATGTAACCATTGACTTCTTTTCTTTGCTTTCTGCTGATAAAGGAGATTGATTCAATTTTGTCAGGTTGTCTAACTTCTAAGGATCTTTCAGCTGCAGAATGCGAGCTTAACGAGCTTTTGAGCCATGATGACTTACAGCAACCGCTTCCCGAAGTCCCTGGTGATGCTCTTCCGGCCACAAAACGGCATGGTACGGTAGACGATCTGCAAATATTATTTTTTTTAAACGAATTCTTTATTTCATATGATCACTTTCTCTTTTAATTTTTAGAGCCAGGCAGAGTATCTGATCGTATTTTGGTGACGTCCTCATGATAATCTTACGAACGAAATCTATACATTGAAACTCCATGAACATTATTTGCTCCGAAGATCTATTTTGCTTTCACATTGAAATTCCTTGAAAATTATTTACTCTGAAGACCTATTTTGCTCTCACTTATCTCTGTAAATATAACCACTTCAAAGACAATAAATTTGCGCATGATATTTTTGAATTTTCCATTCGACATTAAATTCCTTACTTCGAATACGATAGCTATTTTGCTATCTGTTATAGGCCCTAACTTTTTGAGCATGCTAAGCAAGTTTATTCAACAACAACAAAATATATCCCAATTTGATTCAACTTCATTATTTACGCTTTTCTATTCACTACTAGGGCTCTATTAATTGATCAACCGTTGGATGCTTCGAATCAATTTGGATTGAATTTTGTCCTCCGTACTATTTTAGCTCTAACTTTTGCTGTTATGCACTGCTTTCACTGGTGTACGGATGATTCTTATCAGGTATTGTCTCACTCGTCTGGTGAAGAAAGTGTAGTAACCTGTCAAGCGGGCGTGAGGCTCTATGATGGCGAAAATAGAACTCCTTTTGAAAATGGGCAGTTGACTCTCACTACCCATCGATTAATTTGGTCAAATGGCTCAGGTTAGCTCTCTTAATCTGATTAATAACTAGTTCATTTTCTAATGCATGCTTTGAGCGAGTTAGCTTTTAAAAAATTGAGCCAAAGTGTCTAGGTTTTTTCGTTTGGGATCTAGTGTTCTCTATAATGCACCTTGATTACCTAAGTAATCTTCCGACTCATTGCTTCTGCATCGATATCATTTATTACACCTGCAAAGTATAAGTTGCGGTAACTAGGCCACTAGAATACAGCCAGGAAATACTCAGAAGCGGCATAATAAACATGATTCTAGCCATTTATGCTCACTCGATTTGTTTATATTAATAGAAATTAGTACCTGCAATAAATAGAGCCACGTGGACTGCTATATGGATAACTGTGATGCATTACACGAGGTCTGATTATTTAATGAGACTAAATATATCCCAATTTGATTCAACTTCATTATTTAATCATTTGCTTCGACCCTATTGACTGTGGCTAAGATTTACTCTCTTTGTTTCGCATTTCTTAGTTGCCTGTTTAAAATGTGTATTTTAAGTTGAATCAGGGTAATTTAATATTGCAGACATTTTTTTAAACAAGGCAAATTAGAAGCTATTAAAACGCGTAAGATTTCTGTTCTGGAGTATTAAATTTTTATTTATAATTCCCTTGAACAAATCATAGTTGTGGTCTAGGCTTCTTTATCCCTTCATGAGCACTTAGGCAAGTTCCTTACAAAGCACTCAGATATTTATCGGAATGTACAATTTGTTTTTAATCTAAATATATTCATTTTTAGTAGAGGATAAATTGCCCGAATGAAATATTTTTTGGTTCAGACATTCAAATTTTTGACGTCTAGCCTGATTCTAATACCCCAGGTAAAAAACT